TGATTGTTATCTCTTCCTCTTGCATTGTTCCCTTAAGAAGGATTTAGTGACCTTATTTGTCTCTCTTGGTCAGTCTTGGCTTGAAATCCACTTCATCTGCAAATAAAATAGTTACCCCTGCTTTTTTCTGGGTTCCTGTTGCATAGAGCATTGGTTTCCATCCTTTGACCTTCAGTCTATAAATTAAATATATTTCTGGTATATAGCACTTTGTTGGATTTTGCTAACTTGATCCATTCTGCCAGTCTGTTTCTTTTAATTGGAGAATTGACTTCTTGTGTGTGTGTGCCAGGAATCAAACTCAAGGCCTCACACTTTCCAGGTAGAAATTGTGCCACTGAACATCATCCCTGGCTTGACTGGAAAATTGAGACCATTTATATTGATGGTTATAACTGCTATGTATTGACTTATCCTTGTCATGTTATCTTCTTGTTGTTGGTTTCCTTTCCTTTTCTTTCTTTTTTTTTCTTCACCCTCTATTTAGTTACTTGCCTCACCCGGCAGATCTACTCTGTTGGGGTTCATGGAGGTGTAGCCTTTATTATCTGTTTCTAACATGTCCTTCAGAACATTTTGGAGAGATGCTTTGGAATTCATGAATTTCCTCAGGTTTCTTTCTCATGGAAGTATCTTATTTCTCCATCAGTTTTGAAAGACAGTTTTGCAGGGTCCATCAATCTGGATTGGATGTTATTTTCTTTTATATACTTCACTCCAAGCTCTCTTTGACTTGAGGATTTTGTGTTGAAAAGTCTGCTGTGATTCCTATGATCTTTCCTTTTGGGTAATTAGTTTCTTTTCTCTAATAGCCTTTAATTTTTTTTAGTTTTGGTATTAGAGATTGAACTCAGGACCTTGTGCTTGTGAGGCAGGTGGGAGAACCACTGAGCTAAATCCCTGGCCCTCTAACAGTTTTTAATATTCTGTTCTTGTGTTGAATTTCTGGAAGCTTAACTATTATACTCCTTGGCATAGATTTTTTTTTGAGCATGGCTAATTGGATTCTATATGCCTCAATTATCTATATGTCAAATTCTTTTCCCATGCTTGGGAAGTTTTCTGCCATTACTTTTTTATTTTTATTATTGGCAATAAAATTCAGGGCCTTGTGCTTGCCAGGCATGCTTGATGCTGCTGAGCTACATCCTTGGTTCTTGTCATTACTTCTGTGAACAGGTGTGTGTGTTTTTTTTTTAATGCCATTTGCATTATCTCCTGTTTTTTTCAATGACCCTGATCAATCTTATGTTTTTCTTCTTTGCATCATCCAGCAAATGTTGGCTTGATTTTTCTTGGTTCCTTGCTACTATTAAGAAATCTTTATTTTCATGATCACTAACAGCAGTTCTGTCTTCTAAATCTGATATTCTGTCTTCACCTCGGCTCATTCATCTACATATACTTTCAATGCAATTTTTAATTTCCTGGATAAATGTTACAGTCTGTTTCATGGATTCCATTTCTTTCTTAGGTTAAGCATTCACGGTTTACATCATTTTCCTAAGCTCCTCTATTTTTTTTTTTTAATTTGTATCTGCTCTAGCATCACTAACCATATCCTTCATTCTGGTCACTGAGTCTGTAGTTATCTGAGGAATTATTTCTGATTTGATTTTTTCTAGAGCCTCATGCATCTGCTTTGTTGCTTCTGCTGTTACCACTTCAGAGAGTCCAGGTGGGTGGCTTTAAAACTGTTCCACCTCATTGCCCCTTGGGTTTGCCTTTGGCGAGCTGGAAGTCTGGTGTTGCATCTTGCTTAAATATCTTCTCGTTTTCTATGTATTTTAAAACTTAATTCCTGTGTTGATGCTTGTGAATTGCTTATGGTAGGTAGTTTCATTACTAGTATTTAGAACCCTTTAGAGAGGACTACTTCTCAGAGATGTCTTCCAGGTGTAACTGGCTTTTGGGCTTTTTGTTTGTTGCAAGACCCTACTTGTGCTGACTATTTGGCCTAGCCCCTGGTTCTTTGGCACTGTTCTATAGCATTGTTTATGACCCTCAGGCAATCTCAGTCTTGGCACAGCAGGAAAAACAACTTATTAGAACGATTATGTCACCTTGGCTAACGTTGGCAATTGGCAATATCAATAGAATCCAACACAGCCTAGAAATTGACAAACTGTGATAACTATTAATTTATCACCTTTTACCCTATGAACTGTATTTGTGGTTATACAACAAAATCTAAAAGAGAAACCAGAAAATAGTATACAGTAAATATGCCCTCCATTTGGTGATTTTATCCTCAGGGGAGAAAATTTAAAAGGGGTTAGGGAGAAAAATAGAAAAGTAGAAGAGAGGAAGGGATTAGAAGCAAGGCTGAAGGACAAAGGAAGATTACATAAACTTTGGTAAGCTAGTCAAAAAGACAGGAAGGAAAGAGAAAGACAAAAACAACAATAGAACAGAACAACAACAAAAATGTACACCTCAGGGCATGTGTCTGCTATTACTAGTAGACAGAGTGGGCAGACAGAGCCCATATCCATGTTGAGTAATCTCAGCAGGCCGTTGTAGATTTACCTTGCAGTAGTGAATAAACTCAGCAAACCTGAAATTCAAGCTGTTTTCTGACTATAAGGCTGGAACCCAATTTTTTCAACTTGCAATACTCTACTTGCCTCCTGCCAACTTGAACTTGATCGAACCTCACCCTGACATTGGAAACTGATAGATGGAGCCAGCCCAAAACTACTCTGAGTTTTGAGCTCAGTTGGCCTCTCTCCAAGTTGGCTACCAGCCAATTGCCCTCTCCTAGGGGACATCTGAACCCAAATAACTTAGCAGCTACTTCAGTGTGCTGCATCAACTGGTACATTCCACTGGTCCATTTCTCTGTGGAGGCATCTTGGGTTGCCAGTAGTCACTGTGCATTTGCAGGTTCAAGCCCTCCCACACAGCAAATCGGGGCTCAGAGAGAAAGCACCACTTGCCACCTCCTTCTGCACTGAGGTTTCTCTCTTCACTTCCCCTGCAAGCTTCAGTTCTTACTTCAGATCTTTGCTGAAGATCCCTCCTTCCCTCCTATTCTCTTCCTCATGTTGCTATATTTCAGTGTCTGGACACAAAATCTTGGAGAGGCTCTTTCTCTGCTGTTCTCCACTCTACTATCTTCTGTATCACTTTTTAAAGATTCTGAGTTTTGTATTCTGTATGATAAGGCTCAGGGTGCACTACCCCAAAACAGGACACTGGGATGGGGGAAGATTTTGAGCTGAAGCAATCTGAGCAAAAAGCAAAAGCAGAAGCAAAAAGATCTCTCACCTTCCCCTTTCTCCCCTGAAGCAGGTCCTGAGATCTTCAAGTGAGAGGTTCCCTCTGTACCCAGAGGAAAGGAACATCCTCATCCCTGAAGATGGAAACACAGAAGAGGGTGAAGCCAGCCTTGCTGTTTCCCCAAATTCTCACCAGGAGATTGTCCACATTTTCCCCCCCTGGTACCAGGAATTGAACTCAAGACCTTGCACTTGCCAGGCAGGCCTGGCGCCACAGAGCTAACCCCAGCCCAAGGTCATCCACTTCTGTCGTGTCATGCTCCTCCGTGACTGGCCCTGCTTCATATCCGCTAATGTCAGAAAAGCTTTGGGTGAGGAGAGGACATTTTTCTCCCCTGCGTGTGGAAATGTCTTTTCCTGTGAAACTGTTATGAGGCTATTGCAGCTGTTCGGAAGCAAGCATTTGAATCAGTATTTCCTTGAAATGAATTGAAGTTCCCAGATCCTCCCAGACAGAATGAGTTCTCCAGCTCATTCCTGAAGCTTCTCAAATGTGTTGCAGATTGAGAGGTTTTCCTGAGGTGTCCTGGCTTTGAGGGCATCACAGCTAGCTGGAAAGCTTCAGTGTATTGCTTCTAGGAGATCCACAGCCACTGAAAAATACGATGGAACTGAATGTTGGTTTTCACCCCATGCCATCCTGTACCCCAAACATAAGAACTGTTGATGAGCACATGCCAGTATCCTGTGCTAGGCAGAGCCCATGAGTGGTACCTGTGTTTACTCCTCTGATCCTCACACTAGGCCAGTGTCACGGCAACCAAGACACAGAGATGCTAAAGTCAGCTCTGCAGGGTTGCTCGGCCTGCAGCGCCAGATTTGCAACAGGGTTTGCATCTAGGGCAGCCTGGCTCCCTGACATGTTCATAACCTCTGTTGATGCTGCTCCCAAGGAAAAAATCCACAAGTGCTAAAAATCTTAAAAAGAAATGTAACTCTGCCTGTTGGTTTGAAGAAACACCAAATGAGGAATCACACGGCAGGCATGAAATGTCCCAGATAGCCTAAGGGTCCACCCGTCTCCCCAATATCCCCAATATCCTTACCGCAACAAATCTTCAACGTAAACACATTTCTCTCCCCAGCTGGCTTTCCTCCCATTGACAATTTCCTCTCACCTCCCCCACACTCCTTCCTTACAGATTTTTTTTTTTTTTTTTAATTTAGAAGTAGAGCTGGGCATGTGACAGATGTCTATAATCCCAGTGCTCAGGAAGCTGAGGCAGGAAGATCACCATGTGTTTGATGCCAGCTTGGGATACATAGTATGTTCGAGGCCAGCCTGAACTACATAATGAAACTGTTTCAAAAAAAATCTAGAAATATAAAAAAATGCATAAAGAAGAAAATAACTCATCCATTGTCTCATCTATGTGATTAGCTACTGTAAATATTCTATATACTTTTCTTCCTATTTTTAAAGTATTTACATTTTTGCAAGAGTTATTCATTCTCATTAGATGCAACTCAATACAGGAAAGTGTAAATGTATTAAAAATTGTAAATTCAAAACATTTTAAATTCAAAAATAACACAAACAAATAAGCACTCACTTTCCTCTGGTATCTCCATGAGAGAAGGGTGTGTATGAGAGAGTTTTCCTTCTGGGGGCTGAACACTGCTCTTCCAGCCTAAATGTGCTGTTATAAAATTAAGTCAGGTGTGGTAGCACATGCCTCTGATCGCAGCACTCGGGAGGGTGAGGCAGGAAGACTGGCTGTGAGTTTGAGGCCAGCCTGGGCTACATTGCAAAACCCTGCAATAAATAAATAAAGACAAAAACAAATAAATAAATAAATAATCTAAAAATTGTAGAGTCACGCCAGGTGTGGTGGCACACGTCTGTAATCCCAGCACTCGGGAGGCTGAGGCAGGAGAATCACTGTGAGTTTGAGACCAGCCTGGACTACACAGTGAGTTCCAGAGCAGTCTGAACTACATAGTGAGACCCTGTCTCAACCCCCCCCCCCGCAAAACTGTAGAGTCATTTGGTTTTTTTGGGGGGTGCATTTTTTTCTTTTTATTGAGTTTATTGGTTAGAGTCATTTGTTTTTAAAGCATTCAATTTAATAGTGCATATACATACATATATATATATAAGGATCTGATACAAAAACAAAATGGACAAATTCTTGAACTTCCATTCAAAGTTACTTTTGAAAAAGAACCCTTTAAGGGCCACAAAATTTTAAAGTAATTAATGACATTAAGATTTTGAGTGATTTTCTTTCTAGTCTTCACAATATTTTTAGGAGGAGAGAGGATAAGGGCATTATGCATGGAACCAGGGCCTTACACATGCTAGGAAAGCCTTTGTACCACTAAGCAACAGCCTTTTGTCTTTTCTAAAATTTTTCACACAGGGTCTCCCTAATTGCCCTGGATGGCCTCAATATCCTCCTGCCTCAGCCTCTGGAGTAGTTTGGATGACAGGTGTGTGCCACAGTGCCTGATTCACAAACAACCTTCTTAAGGTCTAATTTTTAAATGTTACAATGTGTCTATTTCCAGCTCAGTGACTTTGGACAAATGGGTTCATTGGAGCCACTGCCTGGTTCAAGAAAAAGTACATCTGGGGTGAAAGGAGAGCAGGGCTATGGGGAAAAATAAGAACCAAGACATATGTAAAAGTACAAGATCCCAATGATGAATGTAACTGTACTGTTTGCTTTAAATGTACCAGTAAACTTAATGAGAAAAAAAAGAAAGAAAAGGTACATCTGTATTATTCCAAAATGTCCTCTTGTGCCCCTTTCCAGTCAGTCTTCTGATTTTTCCCTCTCCCAAGGAGCCCATGATCTTTCTGTCACTATGCATTACTTTTGCCTCTTCTAGAAATCTGCCTTCAATGGAATCACATACCATGTACCCCTTCCGTGATGTTTCTGAGACTCATCTATATGGTGCATATGTCTATAATCTTATTTGAATTGCAGAGCAATGTTTCACTGAATGAATGTATCAGTCTATCCATTTGTCTCTTGACGGGCATTTCAATTGCTTCCAGTTTGGGGACTGTTACAAAGCTGCTAAGAAGTCATCTATTTTTGTGGGTATATGTTTTTACAGATTTCACTTCTTATTTATTATCTTTTTTGGTACCAGAGATCGAACTCGGGACCTTGCACTTATGAGGCAGCTGGTGCAACCACTGAGCTAAATCCCTGGCCCTGTATTTATTATGTTTTAATACTAATGTGCTTTGTGAATGGAGTGTCTACAATAATAAACAAACAGATGGATGAAAGAAATGCTACTGGCAATTCGCACTGCCATCTAAGAAGCAGTATTCAGAAAACTTACTAATTTGCAGTTGGAGACACAGGCCAGAAACAAACTGGAGGCCGAGAGCACGTTTTTCCAATTCTGTAGGTAAAAAGTGAGCTGCTGACAAAAGGGCTAAGGGGTTGGGGGAGGTGAGTGGAGTAGGAGGAGAGAAGAGGGGAGGGAAGAAGAGAGGCAGGGATCACCAAAAATGTGAAGAACGGCTTTGGGGTAATAGTGGTATCTACAAAGGCAAGGGTGCGTGATATGGCATTGAGACTCCAGGCAAGGCAGTTGTCACTTAAAGGATGTTTGAGGCAAGTGCAGCTATGTAAAGGGCAGCAGTTCGGTACAAAAGCTACCTGCTGGAAGCACTCACACAATCAGCAGAATCAGGTCTCAGCTCCTCTAGAAGACTTCTTCCCCATCTTACACTTCTGAGAGGATCACAGAGCATCCCTATGCTATGGGCACTATGGGCGGGTAGCAGACACCTACCCTAATTTTCTAATGAAAGTAAGTACCTCAGTGGAACAGTGGTCAGCTGTGCATCTCAGTGGCTGCACCACGGGAATACAGGAAGCAATCTGTGTGTTCGTCCACTTGGTATGACAAACAGCAAGGCATACATGCACGCGTGTCAAAGCATACATGGGTGATTTTTACCCACGTTATGCTCCGTGTTATATTTTTTTGTGTTTATAATTTCTTGATTTTTTTTTTTTCTGTAGTTAGCCCAACTCAATACCATGTCACATGAAAATCCACTCTTACAACTTTGGGAGGAGGTTAAAAGTGAGTCATCGGGTGATTCAGCTCCCAACGATGACTTGGATCATGTGAGCCAAAGAAGCTGGGACATTGACAGAGCAAGATATGACAGACAGAGAAGTGCAGAATGAAGACCTTGATTCTGATGAGGAAAAACACAGTAACGTAAATAAATGTTTGATTAGTCAAAATGAGATAGGAAAGTAGGGTGTGGCAAAGCTGGCTAGGGAAGAAGGCTTGACCTATTACTTACAAGATCCTAGACACATGCACAGAACAGTTCCCAAAGCCCTGCACATGTACTTCTCCTGAAAACTCAAACAGGTTTTCAGTAGGATGGCCTAGACCTGAACGCAGCCTGTGGTGTAGGATTTTAGCACCGCCTCTCAGAACCCGTATGTAGTTCTTGTGGGTTTCCTCCAGATTTGGACAGCATAAAGGAGTCAGATGCCCAAAGGAGCTTCCTATTATGACTTTCCATGATAGCCAATGCTATGTTTACCAGACACAGTGTGTACTTTTATTTTTGCTTTTACCCTCTTCTTTTCTCTACTTGGCCCAAGCCTCTACAGAGCCACTTTCTCCCCTACTCTTCACCTTTACTTTCTCAGATAAACTTGGCCAGTCCTTTTTTCTCCGTTGGTCCAATCCTTTGTTTGAGATGAGACAAGAAGAGCAGGGCCGGGAATTTAGCTCAGTGGTGCTGCTGCCTGCCACACAAACACGAAGACCCGAGTTCAATTCCCAGTACCCAAAATAGAAGAGCACTGGTCCACAGGCATGAGAAGAACCTAGTATCTAACTCCAGAGGGAGAGGCGAGCAAGCCAGAACCTTATACGGTTTAGATGATGAGCCACTTTTAGAAGCAGGCTACCCAATAACAAAAATGCTACAAAAGTCATTACACCTGACTGATCCAACATTAGAACTAGGTCAGAAAATGTTATTAGGTTCTTGCCAGGGGTGAAACTTATTGGACAGAAGGCCAGCACTGCAATTCAATGTTGGAAATTGTAACATGTTTTGAAGTACACTAATGATGAAATACAAGTAAAACATTCTACATGCATCAATAGTAATACTTTAAAATATATTTATCATGACACCTCACTATCTGAACTAAAAATCTCATGAGCAAGACTATCATTCTACTCATGAGACTCTACAGGATTTATGGAGAAGTGACAGATGTGGCATTGAGATTTATAGAACAATAATGGCATTCAAGAGATTTGGCTTCCATCACAATTGCCTAAGTTTTGAAAACAAAATGACCCACCAAGAAAAAAGAAAATTTGACAATTCGGAGGCTGCTCACTCATTTTTGAAAGCTTTGTTTCAAATTGTCAAGCAATTTATACATCATCCAAATACATGACAACAGAAGAACAATTTGCATCATTTCATGGTTGTTGAACTTCCAGCAATATACCCAAATAGGGCCTGGCAAGCACAAGGTCCTGAGTTAAATTCCCAGTACTGAAAACAACAAAAACAGTAACCCAAAAATCATATTTGACAATTGATTCACTAGCTACCCATTGACATTATATTTGCTAAAAGAACACCAGTTGACTAGCACAGGCACTATTTTGAAAACAAAGCAGAGAATCCTGAAAAAAATGTTGCAAGTTCACAAAAGAGAAATGTATAGTATTGGATTGCAGAAAGACATAACATTGGCCTCCTATATAGTGAAGAAAAGTGTAGTATTGATACTGTCAATATTACACCATGATAAAATTGATAGTGAAGCTGGAAGTGGTGTGCATTCCTGTAATCCCAGCACCCAAGAGGCTGAGGCAGGAGGATCCTGTGAGTTCAAGGTCAGCCTGAACTGCATATTGAGTCTCCAAAAACAAACAAAACAAAACAAAAAAGATACTGAATCCTCGCTATGAAGCCAGAAATGGGCACATTTTACAACAAAATGAAAGGCAAAGTAGATGTTGACAGGTCATGCTGCAACTATGATGCCACTCGAAACACAAAGCACTGACCAGTGGTTTTGTTTTACTCCACCCTAAACGTGTCAGGCATAAATATCATAGTTTTCAAAGAAAATAACACGCAAACATAAGGAGCAATTTTCTTAGATGATTGGGACTGGAATTGATAAATGATCAATTACAACAGAGGAAGAACAATATGTATCTGTCCAAAAAACTCCAAAAAAGAATTCTGGACCAGACTGATGAACATCAGAAGACCCTTCTAAGAAAGGAGAAAGATCAGCAAGATGTCCAGTGTCCTGCCAAAGGAGACAGGAAAACAAAACACGTGCTATCAGTGTAAGTGACACTCCTGTATGGGGCCCTGCTGTTTTCGTGTGTGAAAACTCTTATGTGTGTTTATTCAAGCAAAGATCTTTTTGTGGTGGTTTTATTTGTATTGTCATTGTAGTTCACATAGGAATTCCTTTCTGTTGTGACTTTTTTAGTAAGCAAACGGTTGATGTAGAAAATGTTTATTCTAAATACTCATTACGTATTTGATGTTTTACTTTATGATACTTCATTTTCCTAAGGGCACAATGTATAACTGGAACCTCCTGACAAAACAGGAAGAGAAGTGACAAGTATGACCTGCCGAAAAAGGACAGCAAAACTCATGTGCTTTCGGTGTACGCGAGGTTTGCGAATGGAGAGCTGCAGTCATGTGTGAAGACTGCCTTAGGTGTGCTCGTTGAGGCAAAGATTATTTCTGTGGTATTGTTTGTATCTTCATTGTAGTTCACACAGCCACTTATCTTTGCTGTTCTATTCTAGATTTTGTAAGCAGGTAAACAGTTGATGTTGAAAATGTTTATTCTAAACACTCATTGCACATTAAATTTTTAATATTTTATGGATGTTTTATTTTTCTGTTAAAGATACAATATAAGAAAATGAAAATTGATAAATCAATAGGATAGTCCTAAAAAGTACGCGTGGACGTTATACACCCTCCATAATGTGTCTTTCAAAAAAACTTACCACGATGCCACTTAACGGCTGTGAGACTGAGCAACATTAACGTGGCTAGTGAAGCCGATGCCCTACACAAGCTGCGTGTGTTTTATCTACCGCTGAGCCGGAACTCACAGCCTTGTAGAAGAAAAGCTGATGATTTTTAAGTGCAGTTTTTTGTTCTATGAGCTGAAGGAGCAAATAGTAAAGTTAGGACTGCATTAAAGAGTAGTTGGCTTGGTCCCGAGACTGCCCGGAACTCCACCAAAGCGCCGCCTACCGGACACTGGCGAAGACGGTGGAAACGGTGGGAAACGATGGCAGGCAGGGTCTTCATCCTTCCACAGGCAGCTGTCTGCATTCAGTCTCTGCGCAGAACAGAGTAGAGCTCTCCTGTCGTCTTAGAAACCTGAGAAACTAAAGCCCACCTACATACAGTAACCGTTACTCAGGAGTGCAGGGCAGTAAAAGTTCTTTTACCAGAAACGAACAAAATTACCCAACACACTTGCTTGTGCTCCTTAACGCAAAAAAAAAAAAAAATTCCGAAAAATTCTGCAGAGTAAAATTTGAAAAAGTCAAAACACTCTAACATCACTAAAACGACTTGAATACAGCAGTAAAACGGGAAAAGTAATGCAAGAACAGCTCAGCGAAATAGTAAACTTAAAAATCTGCTTTTCAAACGACAACCCCAGGGGAGAGCGCGAACGCAGTCCCCCACTACCACAAATTATGCAGTCGAGTTTCCCACATTTGGGGAAATCGCAGGGGTCAGCACATCCGGAGTGCAATGGATAAGCCTCGCCCTGGGAAAACCACCTTCGTGATCATGGTATCTCCCCTGCCAGGTAAGTATGAGTTGCTCGCTCGCCACCCCAAAGGAGCCCTCCACGCTCCTCACTTTTAAGTCACGGTCACTTGCCTTCGCGCTCACTCTCCGAACCTCCTAGCTCGCCCACGCGGCACATGCACTCGGCTGCCACCAACTGCCCTATGCTCCCTCTCCGGCACGGGAAAGCTATCGCCTTTCAACACCAGGGACACAACCAGCAGCCCCTGCGCTGCCTCATCTGCATGGGAGACGCCCTCCCGTGACGTCCCACAAGCGCCCTTCCCTCCGGCCCACGCCGGCTCCTCGCTCCCCCACGCCGTCCGCCCGCCCGCCCTCAATCCGCGGTCGGAGCGGACCGTGACGTCTCCTCTCGCTCCCTCTCTGGTACCCGCGCTCCGGGCTTCCCCTCCTGGCTCCCCGAGCTGCGCAGGGTCCTACCCTGTGTGTCTGGGCCGCCTGCTGAGGCTCGTGCACCCTTCTTGAAGTAATGGCTTTGAATGCGTACAGTGATTACAAAGGAAGGTGGTTCCTTTCAAATCCCGCAGTGTGAAACTGGCCAAGATCCAAAAGAAAAACGACGCGAATTTACGAAACTGGAGACTATGCTCAAGTGACTGAGACTTAACTGGTGTTTTGGAGACGGCCGATCAAATAGCGTGAATCGTGCGGGGTTCCCCCCCCCCAATAACATACTGCCCAGCAGAGGTTAGCGTTAGTGTTAGGGCTTCAAGTCTACCAAAATTCAACTACGACTGCTGACACCTTTGCTACCGCAGTGTCACGCCTAATGGCTGTTCTCATTTAGTTGATCAGCATTCAAAAATCCTTCAACGTAGAGTTCAGGGCTCCTTTCCTAAATTTCCTGAGTCTTCTACTTTTGGCAGAGTCCTTTTGAGCCTGGTTTTGCCAGTAATTCTAAATCAGTTTATCAGGACTCTCCTATCTTTTATTGTAGACAGCTAAATTGATAGAAATTAATAGGAAGATGGAGGAGGATTAGACCCTGAAGAAAGTCAATGCAAAAGGAAGACAAATCCAAATTGTGGTTGCAGGCGAGTTAGATGAAAACCAGGCACGAAAACCTCCCTCCAGATCAACAGCAGTTGGAGATTATGCAATAATTAGCACCACCTGGTCCAGGGAGCACAGCGGAGGCATCAGCCACACGGGTGGAAGGTGTGAACATCTGGACCCATACTCCCATTCCTTTCCAGGAACACCTTTGTTCTTCCTACCGTTAGCAGTTAGATCAGCCAAAGTTAATGATGAACGATGCTCACCCAATACCCTTGCTAGGTTGTTCCTCTATTCGATCCATATTAGCGAAGCATGCTCGCTTCAGCGGCATATATGTTAAAATTGGAACGATACAAAGATTAGCATAGCCCCTGCGCAAGGGTGACACACAAATTCATGAAGAGTTCCATGTTTTAAAAAAAATATGAGCCAGGGCCTGGGATTTAGCTCAGCCGTTCCGCCGACTGCCCTGCAAGTGCAAGGACCTGAGTTAGATCCCCGGTGTGGGAGTCTGGCTGAACCAGAGCGACTCCATCTTGATTAGCAAACAGACCTGAGACTGTCGCTCCCCCCCCATCCCTTATAGGATAACTAATGATTAATTGTGAATTGTTAGGTGGCTGTTTTGAAGTAGCTAGGAAACTAGGTAGAAACTGTAGTGAACACAGAGACCCAAGGCAGGTCACGCCACTCCTTGCATGCCTGTAGTCTGAATGTTCTGAACTTTATGATGATCTAGGTTGCAAATGGAACAATGGATAATCACTCTGCTGATCATTAGTACATGACGACCACTAGCTCAGATCAACTGACTCTTTGCCTTTGTCCTTTTCCTGTAAGTTTTAAGTGTAAACCCCCCTTTTCAGCCCTATATAAAATGGCCTCTGTTTCTTAGCTGGCCGCCTCTCTGAGCTACTTGGCTTGGGAGTGCCGTCTGGCCAGACTAATAAAGGTCTATTAGCCAACTTACCTGGTGTGTTCCTTCCTGGGTGACTCTCGCTATCGGACAAGCTCCTGGAGCCTCGCTGAGCTGCTGAGCCCAGCATCGTGAAGGCCTCTTGGCTGTTCACGCTCCAGGAGTAAAAGTGAGACACGAGTCTTACATCTTGGAGGCCCCAGCGAGATCCCCAGGTGGGAACTGTAAATCCGGCCGAGATTCTCTGTCGCAGGACAAGCTCCTGGAGCCTCGCTGAGCTACTGAGCCCAGCATCATGAAGGCCTCTTGGCTGTTCATGCTCCGGGAGTATCCAGCAGGAGATTCTCAGACATAGACCTGAAAAGCCTCCGGAGGTAAGATTTGAATCGGTTGCAACCATGTGATGTCAGGATAAGAGGTGGCTGACGAGCCGGGAAGCCTCCCCTGACCCCGGCCCTGACGAGGACTCCGGGTGGAATCTAGGTTCTTTTTGTGTGGCGCCTGTGTGTCTTGTCTGTGTCCTGTCTGTTGAGTGTTAACTTTACATTCATTCCTAGGAACAAGATGGGAGGATCGAGCTCCAAAAATACCCCATTGGACTGTTTTCTCACTAACTTTAAATTGGCTTTTTCCCCTGAGCAGGAAGATAAATATGGAATTAAAGGAGCTCTGAGAAGCCACAAGCCCTAATCTCCCTCCTTGAGTCTGTGTTTAATACCCATGACCCCACCTGGGATAATTGTCAGCAACTTTTACAAGCTCTGTTCACATCCGAGGAATGAGAAAGAATTAAAAGACACACTATTCGGTCAGTGCTGGGGGGAACTAAGGGGCTTATTGACGACCAACAACAGGTCCGAGTTGAAGCACAACTCCCCATCTCCCGTCCCAAATGGGAATTGAATTCCACCGGAGGTAGGGAAGCTCTTCCCAACTACCGTCAGCATCTCCTGGCCAGCCTTAGGGGAGCCACTTGCAAGCCTACCAATTTGAACAAGGTAAGCGAGGTCCTACAAGGGCCTGAGGAATCCCCCTCTGCTTTCCTGGAGCGTTTACTGGAGGCTTACCGCACGTACGCTCCAATTGACCCAGACGCTCCAGCGAACAGGCAGACAATTAATCTGGCTTTTATAACTCAGTCGACCCCAGATATTCAGAAAAAAAATTACAGAGAATTGAGGGCTTTGAAAGAAAAAATAAGAAAAAATTGATAAATATAACAATAAAGGTGTTCACAAATAGGGATCCACCCAAAGATAAAATAACTAAAAAAATAACAAAAACAAATATAATAATGATGGCAGAAGAGGGTTTTATACAGAAGGGAAAAAAATGAAATGGAAAAATAAGAAAAATTTAAACTAATCGGAGAAAAAAAAAATTCTCCAGAACAGGACTTGTGAGAAATAAACAGCCGGGTGGAAGTAAACAGTCAGAAGACCATCCACCCGATGATACCAAACTCCTACACACTGCTGAGCCTCATTCTGCCTGCGCATATATGATATTCAGTTCTTGATCTCAGAGATACATTTTTCAGCCTGCCCTTGGCACCAGTGAGCCAGCCGCTCTTTACATTTGAATGGACGGACCCAAACACTGGAACTACTGGACAATTGACATGGACTCGATTGCCACAAGACTTTAAAAACTCCCCCACACTGTTTGGGGAAGCTCTCAACAGAGATCTACAAGAGAAAAGAAAAGCTTTTCCCTATACAACTGTTCTCCAGTATGTAGGCGACCTCTTAGTGGCGACCACGACCGAAAAAAAAAATGCCTCACAGCCACCGAGGGACTCCTGGAGGCCCTACAAGGTCTGGGATATCAAGTGTCCTGAAAAAAAGCCCAGCTCTGCAAAACCAAGATAACTTACTTAGGTTATGTTCTTAAAAAAGGGAAAAGAAAGTTAACTAAATCCAGGGTGTCAGCGATCCTTCAGATCCCCACGCCCAGCTCAAAGAAACAAGTACATAAGTTCCTGGGGGCCATAGGATACTACAGAATCTGGATACCTCGCTTTGCTGAAATTGCCAAACCCCTGCATGAGGCTACGGCGGGGGGAAATACACCCCTTGAATGGACAGAGGCTTGCCAGCAAGCATTCCAGACGCTCAAGACTGCGCTCACCACAGCGCCAGCCTTAGCCCTGCCTGACTTCAATAAACCTTTCACCTTATATGTGGCAGAGAGGAACGGGGTGACAAAAGGAGTGATCACACAGTCTTTGGGGCCTTGGAAGCGACCTATAGCCTATCTGTCCAAAAGACTTGACCCAGTGGCCAGAGGATGGCCGTCCTGTTTAAGGACGATAGCTGCGGCTGCTGCTTTAACTCGGGAAGCTGATAAACTGACTTTTGGCCAGGATCTAACTCTGATCACTCCTCATGCTATTGAGCCCCTGTTGCACAACTCACCAAACAGATGGCTATCAAATGCTAGATTGTTACAATACCAGGGACTCTTGTTAAAACAGCCGCCCATTAAATTTGCCACAACCTCTAACCTGAATCCTGCTAGCCTGCTCCCTGAATCAGATAATCAACTGCCCATCCATGACTGCCTTGAGACTCTCGAAAATCTGCGGGGAGGATGTCCAGATCTGACGGACCTGGCCCTCCCCCGACCTGAGGCAACATACTACACTGATGGATGGAGTTTCCTACGTAAAGATGTGCAATATGCGGGAGCAGCAATAGTCAATCAGGATCAACAGATAATATGGGAACAAGGGCTGCCTCAAGGGACGTCAGCACAAAAGGCCGAACTAATCGCTTTAACTAAAGCTCTGGAATTAAAAAAAGGAAAAAAGATAAATATTTTCACTGACAGTCATTATACTTTTGCTACTGCCCATGTACATGGAGAAATTTACCAGAATAGAAGACCTTTAACATCAGACAAAAAAAAAATTAAAAACAAAGCTGAGATATTAGCTCTGCTGCAAGCCATTTGGCTGCCAAGGAAAGTTGCCATTATTCACTGCCGTGGACATCAAAGAAATTCCAGCCCTGAAGCGATCGGGAACAACGCAGCTGACCAGGCAGCAAAACAAGCTGCCCAAAAATCAGTGGGAAAACAAATGGTGCTGCTACCTACACCCGTGCTCCCAGAGGGGCCTAAATACACAGAGGAAAAAATAACGGAGATAAATAAGAACCACTAGACCAAAGAAAAACATGAATGGTAGACGACAGATGAAGGAAAGATCGTTCTGCCAGCTGCGGTGGCTGACACTTTACTAAATGAGCTCCATGAATCCACCCACCTAGGAAACAAGAGAATGATGGCCCTACTACGGCCCCACTTTGTCAGCAGAAAATTAGCCCAGAAGGCCCCGGACAAAGTGAGACGGTGCCCCACCTGCCTCAAGATAAACGCGAATCGGATAACTGGGCCCCCAGGGGTCCAATATAAGGGACTGACTCCCGGAGAACACTGGAAACTAGACTTCACCGAGATGAAACTAGGCATATATAGTTACAAATATCTATTAGTTTTCATAGACACATTCTCAGAGTGGATAGAAACATATCCTACTAAAAAGAAAACAGCTGAGATAACAATAAAAAAGCTCCTGACTGAGATAGTTCCCCGATTTGGCTTGCCCTTAGCCCTGGGGTCCAACAATGGCCCAGCCTTCACAGCTAGAGTGTCTAAACTGATTAGCCTAAGCATTAGAATTAGATAAAATTTACATTGTGCTTACAGACCTCAAAGTTCAAGACAGATAAAAAGAGCTAACAAAACACTAAAGGAGATTTTAACTAAATTGTGCCTAAAAACTGAATTAAATTGGGTAGAGCTTCTTCCTTTTGCTCTATTGCATATTCGATATACTCCCAAGCCTCCTCTGAATCTGTCCCCCTTCCAAATTATCTATGGACATACTCCCCCCTTGGTTCCCCATATAGATATAGAATTAAAGGAGAAATTCTCTCATCTGAGGTTGCTTAAGTCTCTGAGAGCTTTACATGAAATACAGTCTCAACTACAAGACCAGGTTAAAGGATCTCTGACCCTTCCTCATGAGAAACCTTTACAGCCACTGCCCTATAAGCCGGGAAAACTGGTTTATATTCACAGGTTTGACTCCAACTTGAAACCACGATAAAAGGGACCTTTTCCAGTTGTCCTGTCTACTCCTCTGGCTGTGAAGGTTGCAGGACACCCGACGTGGATCCATTGCAACCACCTCAAGCCCAGACCAGACAACAGCCCGGAGGCGCATGGAAAATGGAGCGTCGTCAACAGACCCAGAAAAATAAAAATAAAACTCCGCTCAACTGGACCTTCATTATGATCTGGATGATTACCCTTGGGACAATAATAACGTTGTCCAAAGAGGACTTAGGTCATACTAAAAATGTTTGGGTACAACTAACTAAATCCTTAAATTTGTCTAAAATATGTTTAAATGCTGATATAAATTTTCATTATGTGCTTAAAAGTTATTTGGTTCCAATATGCACCCCACTTGAAAATATTAAACCATATACTATGTTCAAAAATTTCCCACAAATAAATCTCAGTTATTTAGATAATTACAATTGGGGACAGGTGACATGTTACAAACCAAAGAATGCTATTAAGCTATATACCCCTCGAATAACTATATCCAATAAGACTCTCTGTGCCAAATATAAAGGTTATACTTCCCAATGTTTAAATCTTAAAAAAACAAATATAATGAAGTGTTCTAAAAAACAAAAGATTCCTTACAACAAATGCCATATTACTCTGCCACTGGGATGGTTTTATACTTGTGAGAAAATAACTTACAATTACATCCCAGCAAACTTGAGTGAAGCCCGCTGTTATCTTAATAAATTAACAATCGTCTTACCTGACAGGAGAGACCTCTCACCACCCAACAAAACAAAACGCTGGTCTCCCTATACTTCACCAGGCTGTGATGATGATGTGGGACTTTTAACAGATGCTGAAGTTATTCCTATGATTATTTCTATGATAGGTTTACCCTCAATTAAAATACATGCTAAAAAGGCAGTTAAAAAACTAGCTTACAAAATAATTAAAGGGTTAAATACCACCTCTGCCGCGCTGGCGCTAATTAATCAAGAACTCCAAGAACAAAGACAGGCAATCTTAGATAATAGGGCGACAATTGATTATTTGGTATTACTTCATCACCAAGATTGTGAGAGAGTCAAAAATATATACTGCTTCAATTTAACAAATAATAGGCCAGCTATAAAACAAGACATAAAAAAGCTCAAAGATTTAGCTACAAAGATTCATAATGAACAGATAAGATGAAATTTATTTAAATGGTTAACAAGTTGGTTACCTAACATTACCTAAATAAAACAACTGATACTCTGTGTGATGACATTAAGATTATATATTATAATAACTTGTTGTCTTTTACAATGTGTTCCATTAATAAAGCCCAGAATCAGATATAAATGGGCCTGGGATTTAGCTCAGCCGTTCCGCCGACTGCCCTGCAAGTGCAAGGACCTGAGTTAGATCCCCGGTGTGGGAGTCTGGCTGAACCAGAGCGACTCCATCTTGATTAGCAAACAACCTAGAGACTGTCGCTCCCCCCCCATCCCTTATAGGATAACTAATGATTAATTGTGAATTGTTAGGTGGCCGTTTTAAAGTAGCTAGGAAACTAGGTAAAAACTATAGTGAACACAGGGACCCAAGGCAGGTCACACCACTCCTTGCATGCCTGTAGTCTGAATGTTCTGAACTTTATGATGATCTAGGTTGTAAATGGAACAATGGATAATCACTCTGCTGATCATTAGTACATGACGACCACTAGCTCAGATCAACTGACTCTTTGCCTTTGTCCTTTTCCTATAAGTTTTAAGTATAAACCCCCCTTTTCAGCCCTATATAAAATGGCCTCTGTTTCTTAGCTGGCCGCCTCTCTGAGCTACTTGGTTTGGGAGTGCCGTCTGGCCAGACTAATAAAGGTCTATTAGCCAACTTACCTGGTGTATTCCTTCCTGGGTAACTCTCGCTATCGGACAAGCTCCTGGAGCCTCGCTGAGCTGCTGAGCCCAGCATCGTGAAGGCCTCTTGGCTGTTCACGCTCCAGGAGTAAAAGTGAGACACGAGTCTTACA